TGTAATTGGAGAGTGCACATGAACTGTGTTGCACATTGCCTGGAACACAGTAGGTGTTAATAGGTAGAGGCTAATATCGTTCATTAGTATGATCATGTAGCCGGCTTATAAATTATGTCCAGTCTCTCCCAACAGAGTCCACTGCTCACCACCTCCCCTGGGCCCCAGGAGGTGAGAGCTGTGGGGCCAGAGAGGTCTCCGTGTCAAGTTCAGAGGAAAGAACTCTGCTTGTCCATTACCCCCAAGCAGCAATGAAGTGAGCTCCCCCTCCTTCATCCTCACGGACCAGCACCCCGGGTGGTTGGCTTCTTTGGGGAATTGGCAAGGTAGGGGTGGGTGGGGATCAGGGAGGGGTAAGGCAGCTCATGCTAAACAGGTCTCCCTGACCCACCTTCCGCAAGCCCAGCACAATCTCAGCCCTGGAGCCAGCCTGGGAATCTCACCGCCTCCCCCGCCCCGCCCTCCACTTTCCTGAAGAGCAACACCAGCCCGCCGCCTCTCCAGATTGGCGTTGCCCAGGCCTGACTCTACCCGGGGGAACTGCTTCAGGTGCACTGCAGGTGTGGCTGGGGTGGGCCGGGCGGTACTGAGTGCAAGGCCATGGGCAGGGCGACTCCCCGGGGGGCCTTTGCACAAGGTGGAAACCTTGCTCTCCTGAGTCTTCAGCTGAGAGCAGTTGAAATTCCTGTAACTGTTGGGGTGGGGGCTGAGAACCAGGATGAGCAGGTAGGTGGGGCTGAAGAGGCTGCCAGGGTGGGGCACCCAGACTTGGTTTCTGTGAATCACAAGCCCCGGGTGAATGGGCCTCAGTGTGGGGTTCTCAAGGCAGCCGGGGGGGGGAGCATTGCCCGAGGAGGCCATGGGGGCTCAGGAGGAGGCCCCCAGACTTCTTGGAGAAACAGCCACTGGAGCCAGGTCCTGAGAGGTGGGGAAAAGTTGGGTAGGCAGAGAGGGAACGAAGGCATTCTAGTGGTAAGAAAGAGCATTGCCCAGGTGGGAGAGCATGGGACACTGGGGGGTCACAAAACAGCTAGCTCCACCTGGCTGCACAGTAAGATTGCAGGTAGACCAAGGTCGGGGACAGGGGGCGGCGGTGGGGGGATCTCCCTGGATTAGGAATCAGGCCCGCCACCCCCACTGCTGATGTTTATAGGCCAAGCCTCTGTCCACCCTGGGTTCCCTCTCCTTCTCTCTTTGCAGGGTTGAGGGGTGACCCATTGGCAAAGCAATGACAGGTGCTTCCATGATCCACACGTCCCCCTAAGCACCCGTGGACAGCGGCATGGGCTGGCATCACCCCCCCGGAGGAGGAGGCTGCCTGACTGTGCTCTTCCAACTCTGGGCAAAGCCCCCTCCCATGCTGGCCATGCACCTCTCTGGCGATCAGGCCCCAGGGCTTCCTGTGGGGCAGAGCAGCTAGCCTAGCAGGCTGGCAGGCACAGAGCAGACAGGCTGCCATGAGGGGCTGCTGTCTCCCGGGGGGGGGCAGGGGTGCGGAGGGCGGGAGTAGGGGCAGAGAATGCTGAGCCCCTACTCTCATGTCCTATGCCCTGGCCCCTGGGCCCACCTCCAGCGGCTCACAGAAGGTTCGGACTCCGGCTCAAGCCCTGCACTCTGTGAGATCCGAGGTCCTCCTCAGTCCACAAGGTTCATGTGCTGGGAAGAGTCCTGGCTCTGAAGCCATAAGCTTGGGGTTCAAGTCCCAGCTTCACCACTTACTAACTGAACAGCCCTTGACATGTTGCTCAAACCTTCAAACCTCAGTGTCTTCCTATGAACGTGGGGACAAGACCTGAGGGCCTTGGGGGTGGGGGGTGGGGAGTTGGCCCAAGTGAGTATGTGTCAAGTAGCCAGCACAGGGCCTGGCACGGAGGCCAGGGCGAGATACATGTGAGGAGATGTTGTGTGGGAGAAGGGGTGAGTTTACCCCCCCCCCCGATCAGCAGCATTGTCCTGTAATTCCCACTCCATCTTCCTCCTGGTAGGGCCAAGGGGCAGGCTGGACATTCAGAGGAGCAGCCTAGCCCAGAGTGGTGATGACCCACGGCCATCCTGTGGGGACACGGATGCTAGTGTACTTCTGGCCAGCCCCGCCCCCAACCTGGGCTGATCGGAGAGCCTGGCCCCGAGGCTTGCGCCCAGCGCAGAGGAGGGCCAGCCCCCGACTCCAGGGTGGGTGCTGCCCCACCCTTTCCAGAAACCAGGCTGCAGTGTCAGGGGTGGAGCTCCACCTGGGAGCAAGTTCGGCACACCTCCAGCCAGGCGGTGGCACAGACCTGGGAGTGTCGAAGCCACACGGTGGAGGGGGGGAACCAGCAGCAGCAGCAGACTCCTCCCACCCCGAGCCCCCAGTGGTCTGGCCTGGGAGAAGGCCTGACCCTGGAACACAGAGGGAAGAGAGGCTTTCAGGGGCTCCGTGAAACCCCATAGACAAGGAGGAGCCAGCTTTGACCCAGCATGGGTGACTCGGCTTCCCCACACCTTGAGCCCTTGAAAGGGGCTGGTGACAAGTTACGACTAGAATGGCCTTATTGATGGCTACGTGCGCTCCCCACTTCCCATGCACCAAGCGCTCCTCCAGTTTCCAGACACACTACCCCATTAGCCTTGCTGACAATCCCCGTTTTTCACAGAAGGGAACTCGGGCACAGAGAAAGGGGGTAACTCGCCCGGAGTCGCGGAGCTGGGAAGTGGCGGGGCCAGAATTTGATGGGAGAAAGCAAGACTCTGGCTTCAGAGCATGGAGTCTCCGGCGGGAAGAGCTGGATGCCAAGGCAAGCGGCCCCTGGAGAATCCATCATTCTCTCCTGGCTTTTCCTCCTCAAAAGTGGGTTTATCATGTGAATGCATTTCATGACCTGAGCTTGTTAGGAGAGAAAATCTGATGATAGGAGGACGGCAGGGGCGACGGGTGAGCAGAGCTCGGAGGTCATTTCCCTGAGCATATACACGGGGCGCCAAGAGATCTGCCAGGTGAGAGGTGCGCCCAGAGCAGGGGGAGGTGGGAACCTCGTGGAGACGGTGGTGCCTGGGCGATTGCAGGGGACGGTGCAGGGCGGAATCAGGGTGTCTGGTGGCACAGTTCGACCCGCTGCAGCCTCACCCAGGTCCCGAGTATGGCTCTCGGCCATACTCGCTCCCTCCCTCAGTGTTTGGTTCGGCTCCCGCTGCACGGTGAGCACAAGAGTGACAGAGTCATGAATGAACCAGGGGGGAAGTGTGCATGCCTCTCTGCACCTTGCCACTCGCTTGTGAACCCATCACAGCGTGCTTCTGTGCACGCGTCCGTGGTCCCTCCGTTCTCTAGGAATGTCACGGGAGAAGCACAGGACGAGGCCCAGAGCCCATGGCATCGCCTGTCGGATTTGGAAGGGCCCCTGCCTTGGGCTGATGACCTAGGTATGCCCCTGCACCCTGACCCCCGTCTGCTCTCTCTTGGCGAGTAGGACAGAACAGGGCCACCTGCCCAGTCTCTTCACTTAGGGACAAATGCCCCAGGGCCCGTGCAGACCAGCTATCCACAGGGCTCCCATCTGAAGACAGCACCCATGTCACCCTGCAGAGTTCTTGTTCGGTTGATGGGGACCTCGACTGGATTCCACAGAGTCAGAGCAGAGGAAGCCCTGTGTGGGGACAGCGTCTAGGGTACTCACAGGGTCTTCCCGAAACACTGGGTGACTTCAGGAGAAAAGAGATACATGGGACCTGGCCTCAGGGAGGCTCAGAGTAAGACAGCAAGGCTGCCTCCATGGCCCCTTCAGAGTATGGTCATTGAAGGAGACACCTGCTAGGGCAGAGGGATGATCATGAGGACCCTGGTGGGAAAGGAGGTGCAGGAAGCAGGACCCAGGACCACACCATCAGTCCCTCTTGCTGCTCCAAGGAGAGAATGAGACAGGAGGTGGAGCCCCCGTGGGGATTTGGCAGCTGGAAAACTCTGGAGTTTCAGTTCTGGATTCCATGCCCCTCTCTCTGGTAGCAGGGAGGGTGGGGTTCAGTGGATCTCCCAGAGACAGTGGTGGGAGCCCTCTGTGGACCTAAGGCCCTGTATCCCGCCTCCTGCCTTTTGGCCACTTACAGAGGCCCTTCTCATTCCCCACCAGAAGCCCTTGGATTCTGTGATAACCGGGGCTCTTCAAACACACCAGGCCAGCCCTTCCTTCTAGGGCTTTCTATGTGCTGTTCCCTCTTCCCATCCCTGACCCCTGGCCTTGACTTTCTTCTTCTCATCTTCTGAGACTTGATGTAGAAACCTTTTCCTCTAGAAAGCCCTCCTGCTCACCAATGCCAGGTGGGGTGGCTCTTGTCTGTGCTTCCCCAGCACCTTCTGCCCTGCCTGCTGTGACACTGAGCTGGGATCTTCTGTTGGCCGCCCCTCTCCCACTGGGCTCTGAGCTCCACGACGGCAGGGATGTGCCTATTTAAATCACAGCATCACCTACACCTGACACAGCACCTAGCACATATTTGGTGCTCAGGAGACATTGGATGGATGGATAGGTGGATGGATGGGTGGGTGGATGGATGGATGGATGGATGGATAAGAAATGAGGCCAAGACCCCAGGCTAAGCCCCTCCTCATTGCCCAGGGACCATATCCTTTCCATCTCTGTATCCTGGCCATCCATCACAGTGCTTGGCACGTGGCACAGGATAAGTGGGTCTATATTGTCTCTTGAGAGTCACAGGGGTGATGCCCGCAGGTACAGACAAAGGGAATGAAGTGTAGGATTAGAAGCATAATTGTGGTAGCAGTTACAGGAGGGTCCAGGGTGCTCAGAGCAAGGAGAAATCAATCACTCTGCGTGGAAGAGTATGGGAAGACTTCCCAGAGACAGTGGGGCTCCCTTTGGTGGATGACAAGTGGAGAATTGAGGGAAGGCCTTCCAGGCAGAGGGAGCAGCTGGAGCAGAGTCATGGGAGCGCCACATTCAGGGGGTTCCTCTAGGGAGCTGTTGAGTTAGGTGCTCTCCCATCCCATACCGTTTCCCTTCTGCCAGCTGGGCTCAATGCCGCCATGCCATCTTCTTCAACTCAGGGACCCTGTGGGCCCTGGTTTACACTCAAGCCCTAGAGGACTTGCAAATGGCGGGACCAGCCCATGGCTCTCAGCAGCTCATCTCTGCCTGAAAAGCTACCTGATGAAACCGGCCCTCTTTCCTCCCTCATCGGCTCCCTGCCCCTCAGACGCCTGCTTCCTAGTCCCCCGCCAGGAAGAGAAAGAAAACAGGCCCATCCTAAAAGGCCTCCACTGTTCCCAAGGAGTGACTCACACAGGGATAGGAACACTTGTCCCTGCACTCAGCGCTTGCCCCCAGTGGGCCTCCAAGTGATTCACAGCAGCTCCCGTCACAAGCCCTTCTGTTGTCATGAGGCCTGGGCCCTGAGTAAGCCTGTGCCTCCCCCGGGGCCAGCCGCCCTCTCCCCTCCCCAAGCAGGTGGGAGGGGGCTCCTTTGAGTTTGGCAGTTCCCAGGGGCCTGTGTCCCTGAGGGTCTGCTCTGGGCCCTGACTCACTGCGAGACAGGCTCTCACCTCAGTTTCCCTCCCTCTGAAGGGGAGCTGACAGACAAGGCATGAGATGCGTGCTGGCTTTTATTATCGGCATGCGTGGGCATGTGGGGGTACAGGCACGAACAGCAGCTCCCAGCCGGGCCAGCTCCTGGTTTCCAGACCTGAGTCTGCCTCCCATGCCCAGGAGGGCCCCAGAAGCTGGGGGCGAGCAGGGCGGGGACACAGCGAGGATCTTTGGTGAAGGGGAACTGCTGCCCCTACTTCCAGCGCCCGGTGACCTTGGCCTTCCCGCGGGTCTTGGAGCTGCAGAAGAAGCAGGGCCCAGTCAGAAGTGGGACCCAGGCCAGGGCAGCAGGTCTCCACAAGGAGGAGGCAGAGGGGGTTGATGCAGAGGGCTGAGAGGGGCAGCCTGGAGCTGCCTCCAGATGTAGAGTAGGGCAGCAGGCTGGAGGGAGTCCTTGGGGGCCCTGCACTCCATTCCCCACTGAGCAGTGATCATGGGGGAGCCCAAGGCCGAAGCAGCCTGTGCCCTGAAGGGGAGGGGGAAGGGGTGGGAGCCAGAGCCCTCAGAGGAGGAGTGGGATGGCTGGAACACAGGGAAGGAGGAGGCAGGGCTGGGTGTTGGAAGGACCTAGAAACTTACACTTTCTGGTTATCATTGATCCTGTTTCGGAGAACATTGATCTGTAAGTGGGAAAGATAGAATAACTTTGGAGCTCATTGATTCAGGTCCCAGGTGGCTGGGGGTGAGGGAGAAGCCGGCTTAACACAGTTGTGGGGGAGGAGGGAGGAGGAGGGGAAGGAGGGAGGAGGAGGAAGGGGGAGGGGAGGGAGGAGGAGAGGTGGAGAGGCCAGGCAGCGAAGCTGTGAGGGTCAGAACGGTTAGAGATCCAGAAGGGCCCAGGTCCCACAAGCAGAAGCTGAGGAGAGGCTTCCTGACCACCCCACTGGCCTGTCACTGTGGGGGTCCCAGAGCCAAGGAGGGCTCGGGACAAGGGTGGCATAAAGAGGCTTTCTGAGAATCCAGTGCAAGGCTGGGCCTCAGGAAGCCCTCCAAACAGCCCAGCCCAGCCTGAGACACCCCCCTCCCCAGGCACTCCTGCCCAGTTGCTCAAGAAGGGCAGCACCCCCATGGGCCACACCCACCCGCCCTGTATTTCGGCCAAATCTAAGCCCGGCAGGCCAGTTGCAGAGTTAAATAAGGAACCAAAGGAAAAGAGGAAGGCCCAGGCCTGGAGAGACTGTAATAGTAGCTAATAGCTACCGAGCACTTAGTGGGGTACCCGGCATTTTCTGTTCCGTTATGAGCACTTTCCCAAATATTAACCCATAGGATTACTGTGAGGTATAACTTCATACATGTAAAAGTGCTTGAACAGTGCTTGGAACACGTTGTTACTGTTATTATTACTATTGTTACCTCTGTAACCGTCACAATAGCCCTGTGAAATAGGGCCTGCCGGCATCCTTGTCATTTAGATGGGAAACGGAAACAAGGAAAAGTAAGTGACTTGCCCAGGGTCACACAGCCGGTAAGGGGCAGAGCTAGCTACAGAACCCAGGCAGTGTGGCTCCGAAGTCCCTGCTCACTGTCACTGCACAAAATTGCCTCTCTGCAGCCACGGGGGCCTGAGCTGTGCTCAGAGGAGGGGCCTGTCACATGGGAGATGCAGGAAAAGCAGGTCCCGAAAGGGAAGCTGGACTCCTCGAGGCAGAAGGGCCCCCCGGGGAAGTGCGCAGGACCCGTCCCGGCTGAGCCGATCCTTGCCGGCTGTCTGTACACCTGGGACCCTCCAGGCTGTGAGCTGGAGGCTCAGCTGGCTGTGCCCACACCGGGGCCTCGGGGGCCGTAGGGAGAGGTGAAGGGGCTACCTCTCTGGTGAGGCCTCCTCTCCACCAGGAGGCCTGGCTCTGTGCATCCTACTCCTCCCGTCGGGCTCAGTGCATCTGAGCTGCTGCCTCAAGGCCTTCAGGGACAGAGGGAGGGAGCGCCCCCCAGGGCTGGAACCCCAGAAATGGGTCTTTGCTCAGCTCCAGCCAGTGAACCATCAGACTTCTCCAACAAGCTGTAGCCCAGGGGTGGACGCGCAGCCTTGTCAGGGACAAGACACCCGGGCAGGTGTGTGAGTTGGCGTGGGTGATGGATGACAGGGACCGGGGAAAGGGGCCTGACTGGCAGCAGCAGCGCGGGACCTGATCAAACCAGGAGGAGCATGGGATGGGGGAGGGCAGCCGTGAGCAGGCTCACTTCGTATTTCTGCTGCTTGAACTTCTCCTGCAGGTCGAACTTCTCTGCCTCCAGGTTGTAGATGCTCTGCCATAGCTCCTTGGCCTTCTCCCTGCACCGGCCAGAGTGGGGATGGGGGGGAGGGACAGGGAACGATAAGGAAGGGTCTTCATCTGCCTTTATCCCAAATCCGACCCAGCCCCCAGAGGCCCCAGCCCTCCTTCCCACCTCCAGGCCTGCTAATGGGACCCCCAGCCCACCTGGCTCAGCATGGGGCCCAGATGGCAGTGCCCAGTGCTTAGGAACAGGTACCAGGGGCTGCTAGGGCAGAGTTCGGGGGGAAGAGGGAAAAGCCCTTCTAGCACTATAGAGCGCAGTCCAATCCCCCTTCCCACCACCTGGATGCAGGTGGGTAAGGAGAAGCTCAGAGGGGTGAGGTGCCTGTTCAGTTCTCTTCCCCTATTCCCTGAAGGCAAAGCACTGAGCTGGCCTGACCGGCTCCCTCCCAACTCCGCTCCCACCGGTGTCTTGGGAAAAAATATGTGGTATGGCAGCGCCCCCTGGTGGTTCATGTGGAGAATGTGCCCTCTGCCCCGCCTGCCCTCCCCACGCAGATGTAAGCAATGTCCGGAGGACCACCAGCCCCCACCTCAGCTGATCTTCATTCAGGTGGTCGATGGCCAGCACCTTCCTCCTCTCAGCCAGAATCATCTTCTTCTTCTCCCTCTCTGTCTGCCTCTTCCCGCTTTTCCGCTCCGTCTGGAGAGGGTGACAAGCAGGGGGCGTTGGCTGGAGAACACAAACCCCCTCTCCCCTAACCCTCCCCAAACCCAATAGGGAGTAAGGCAAGGCCTGCAGAAGGACTAGGTCCTAATCCTCTTCTTCCTGAGACACCCACGCCATCAACTGCATGGATTTCCAGGAGAAACTGAGGCCGGGGCAAGGAGGACCATTTCAGTCCTGTGTTCCTTTGCCTCTCCAAATTCTTCCATCTGTCTCCCGGCTCCCTCCTCCCACTTACGCATTCTCCACACTCCTCCCCTCCAGCCAGCCACCCTCCCCTCCCAGGGAGCCCCCAAAACCATGAGGAGGAAGAGGGTTAGAGGTTTTTGTACCCACCTGGGCCTGCAGGGCCAGGACACCATGAGAGAAAGGCCGAGAGAGAAAGAACGAGACCCGGACAGAGACGCAGAGAGAGAGCAGAGCACAGGGCCGGAGGCAAAGGCAGAGAGACAGGGGAGAAGGAGAAGGTGATTCAGACGCTCCTGCAGGCAACCTTGTTTATTAGGACAGGAGTCTGGGGGTGAGGCATGGACTGTTTAGAGAGCGGGGCCTCGCCAAAAGTCTGGCTGGAGTGGTCGCTGTGGGGACAGAGGCAGGCAGGCTGGTCTGGTTCTGAGCTGGGGACTTTAGAAATCTAAGAAAATGTTCTGATCTCTCCACTGCATAGAGAAAATCAATGTTTTATTTCCTCTCCTCCCTTGAGAATGGAGTACCTAGCAGGAGTGGGACACAGAAATTAGGAGCTGAGGGAGTCCGCAGGAATAAACCATCTCACAGCTGTGTGGGACACAGATGCTTGCCACGGGAACCCATCTGATCTCCGAGCAGGCAGGGCAGACAACATTAAAGCGACTTTACAGGTGAGCTAGCTGAGCCTCTGAGTTTGCCCAAGGCCACACAGCTGTACCAGAGCTCTGATTCTAGGCACGAGGCTCTTCCAGATGCACCAGCCAGCTTGGGGGCCCCCAGGCACCGCTGACACAGGGGGGGGGCCTCTGCCAGCAGCCCCCACCCCAGCAGGCCCCTCCTGGGGAAAGCCACAGTCAGGCAGAGAGCCTGGGGCGGGGGGCGGTGGGGGGGCAGGAGGAGGCTTCGGTCTCTCACACCAGGTGGGAATTTCCCCCTGGAATCCAACTTGAAGTCTGTGGACACCCCACTCCTCCCCATACACCAGGATCCCCTGAGACAGTTGCTGCTCCCTGACCTACCTTCTGGATGTAGCCCCCGAAGTGCATCATGTTGGACAAAGCCTTCTTCTTCCGCGCCTCATCCTCGGCCTTCCTCCTGTTCTCCTCCTCCTCTCGTCGGGCTCTCTCTTCCTGGTTTCCATGGGGGGGGGGAGGAAGAGAGCAAATCGGGGGGCACAAACCCCTGACACTGGGCTGAAGTCCGTGGTCTTTATGGGTCAGTTGAGTGGCGCTTTCTCTCCACCGGGCAAGAAGCCTCCTGAGGGGACCCCCCAGCACAGGGCCCGGCACATGGGAGCGTGAAGACTTTTGTTGATGAATGAGGGAAGAATGATTCCCAGGTGTGGCTCCCATCCCCGCCTCAGGCAGGGAGCCCGCCCCCCCACCCCTCCAGGAGGCCTGGTGCCCTGGAAGGACCTCC